GCAGATGTCAATTTTTTTTTCTCTATACCAGGTAGTAAGGACCACAAAAAGAAGTTTTCTTTAACCTGGCAAAGTTAGCAGAATTATTGTTTCTCTTACTTCAAGATTATACCAAACTCACTGGCTGTCTATCATTATCTAGTCTGCAGGGATCTTCATCAACTTGACATATCAGGGGATTTTACTCTGGTCATCTGCATGGATGACATCATGCTGACTGGACCAGGTAGATAGGGAGTACCTTAGACAACTTCGTAATTAACATCAGTATGTATTAAGAGATGAACCCATGAAAATTCAGAAGCCTGAATTCTGGTGAAAATTTTAAGGGTTTAGCGCTCTACAGGAGTACATGTTTAGCACAATAACTGACTCTGCTGCTACCCAAAAGGACCAGGAGGCAGATGCAGGAGTTGCAGGTGGCAGGGCAGGTTTGGGCTAGCAGAGGAAGAGCTGGGGAAGGATGGGGACAGTGGAGGCTAAACCTAGGGTATGGGTGAGAATCGTACCCACAAATCAGTCTCCCTACCTTTCCCGGACATTCTCTGCGGTTCTCGGTGTGTGGGAATTCCAAAAAAGTAGAAATCAAAAACAGAAAGAGCAAGAAAAAAAACCCAATACGTGGAAACTGAACAACACCTTGTTCAAAAACTACTGGGTTATAGAAGAAATTAAGGATGGAATAAAGAAATTGAAAGAACCAAAAGAGAATGAAAACACATCCTACCAGAACCTTTGGGACATAGCAAAAGCAGTGCTCAGAGGTCAGTTTATAGCAATAAATGCACACATCCAAAAACAAGAAAGGGCCATAACCAAACGCTACAACTGGAACAAGTAGAAAGAGGGCAGCAAAAGAAGCCCTCAGAAGCCAGAAGAAAGGAAATAATAAGAATTAGAGCAGAATTAAATGAAATAGAGAATAGAAAAACAATTGAAAGAGTTAACAAGACCAAAAGCTGGTTTTTTGAAAAGATCAACAAAATTGATAAACCACTGACCAAACTGACAAAAGAAAAACAGAAGAGGAAGTAAATAACCCATATAAGAAATGAGATGGGTGATATCACAACACACCGGGCTGAAATTAAAAGAATCATAATAGAATACTATAAAAAATTGTACTCTAACAAATTTGAAAACCTAGAGGAAATGGACAAACTTCTTGAAACTCACTACCAACCTAAACTAACACAAACAGAGGTAGAACAACTATATAAACCCATAACAAAAGAAGAGATTGAAAAGGTAATTTAAAAACTCCCAACCAAAAAAAAAAGCCCTGCCCAGATGGCTTCACTGGAGAATTCTACCAAACTTTCAGAGAAGAGTTAACATCACTACTACTAAAGGTATTTCAGAGCATAGAAAAGGATGGAATACTCCCAAACTATTCTGTGAAGCCAGCATAACCCTGATACCAAAACCAGGTAAAGACACCACAAAAAAAGGAAATTACAGACCAATATCCCTCATGAACATAGAAGCAAACATCCTCAACAAATTTCTAGCCAATAGAATTCAACAACATATCAAAAAAATAATTCACCATGATCAAGTGGGATTTATACTAGGTATGCAGCGATGGTTCAACATTAGAAAAACGATCAATGTAATCCATCAGATAAATAAAACAAAAGACAAGAACCACGTGATCTTATCAATCAATGCAGAAAGGGCATTTGACAAAGTCCAACACCCATTCATGAGAAAAATTCTCAACAAAATAGGAAGAGAAGGGAAATTCCTCAATATAATTAAGGGCGTTTATACAAAGCCAACAGCCAACATCATCCTAAATGGAGAGATTTTGAAAGCATTCCCCTTGAGAATGGGAACCAGACAAGGATTCCCTTTATCACCACTCTTATTCGACATTGTGCTGGAGGTCCTAGCCAGAGCAATTAGGCTAGAAAAAGAAATAAAGGGCATCCAAATTGGTAGGGAAGAAGTCAAAGTATCTCTGTTTGCAGATGATAGGATCTTATACACAGAAAACCCCAAAGAATCCACAAGAAAACTACTGGAA